GCCTTTTTTCAGCGGTACAAATGAGAGTGGCCATAAACCGTCCAGGTCATCCACTTTTGTAGAAAGTGTTGGGAAATGATGTTGGGAAAAGAGGGTAAGTAATTTTAGGAAAAGTGGAAGATGGTCGGAAAAGAAGAAAACAGAAACAGGGGACATCCACTCCAATAGAGTGTTGGGGCAGACCAAAGAAAATCTTTCTTGACCCAGGGTGTGGTTATTCTGTGGAACTCCTTGCCCCAGGATGTGGTGATGGCGTCTGGCGTTTAGATGCCTTTCGAAGGGGATTGGACAGATTTCTGGTGGAAAAGTCCATTGCAGGTGACAAGCCCTGATGGGGAGGTACAATCTCCAGGCTTTGAAGGGCAGGGGAGGGGGATCAGGAGACCGGGATCTCGTGGTCTCTCGTGTGCTCCGCGAGGCATCTGGTGGGGCCACGGTGAGACACAAGGAGCTGGACTAGAGGGGCCCCTGGCCTGATCCAGCACAGGGCTCTTCTTACGTTCTTATGTTTACAGTGTGACTTGAGATGCAGCAATTACTTTTTAAACATGGGGATTCAGTTGAAGATGATGGTCTTCCTGAGCTCCAAGTCTTCCAAACTAGAATATTGAAATGCCGATGCCGAGAGGGAAAATACGGCTCTGTATCTCAAGCCACATGCCTTGGGCAAAGTCTCTGTCTCAGGGTTTGTGGGGGTTTTGTGGGGGCATGTTTGGAATAGGGGGAAATAGCTATAAAATAGGAGAGGCGTTGGCACTGACAGCGGAAGATTTTAAGCTATCTTCCTGAGAGGAATTCTCAGGATCCAGCGGTTAATAAAGCCGGAAAATCTTTTTTTAGTCTCATCTATAAATATCACCTGTATAATATGTAATAGGACAGAGGTAGACCCAGGCTCAAGTCTATACACGTTCATTGGCCCAAAGGGCAAAAGTGTGATAGATTATATGGTTCTTTCACACTCAGTATTGCCGTTCTTTAAAAATTTTAAAGTTCTTAGTAGGCCTAAAAGCGATCATATGCCAATTCAACAGTCACTCTCTTTAACCATTAGAAAACCATTAACAATCATGATAGATTTTATAGTTCTTTCACACTCGGTATTGCCATTCTTTAAAAATTTTAACGTTCTTAGTAAGCCTAAAAGCAATCATATGCCAATTCAACAGTCACCCTCTTTAACCATTAGAAAACCATTAACAATAATGCCAGGCAAGGAAAATGTGAATGTTCATGGTTGCGATGGGCAGGAAATTTACAAGAACAGATACTGTAAATTTATTTCTAATTTCTCCCAACCTTTTATTTTTAAGAGAACAAATCCTTACTTCCTCCGACTCTTTGGAAATTTTTGCCAGTATAGCAAACACCCAACACCACTGTCAGAAAGCTGGAGAAACTGGACAGACTGTGTGGGAAGTTGGGCCCTTTGGAGGAGTAAAGTATTGTAAATAAACAAATAAGCCTGTGTGGAGAGAGCACTGAATGGGCTTGCACACTGGTGTCATCAGAGAGACCGCCTCGCAGGGGGAATCTGTTCAGGCCGCCTCTGCCACGATGCCAAACTCTATGCTGAACAGCCGGGACTTCCCTGCCAGGCATTTCGCCGAGGGGGTGGATGCTTGCCTGCCAGCCGATAACCGTTTTCCCCCACCACCACCCTCTTGGTTCGAGAGACAGCTGTGCCAGAACGAGGAGGCGGTGGGTTCTTACTGTTCCATTTTAACACCGGTTGTCGGTTGGCGCTGAAGGTGGCTTTTGCAAGTCGATAAACCAATATGTGAGATCAATGCCCTTCTCTCTGTTTTCATTGCGATCTAGGGCAGTCAGTCTCAAACGTTGGCACATGTGTGTGTGTTGGGGGGGGAAGAATGACTAGTGGTCTTAACCGACCAGATAGGCGGGATATATATAAATGAATGAATGAATGAATGAATGAATGAATGAATGACTGCAATTTTCTGCTACTAATGCTGTGACTTAGTTTGGGCTTCCTTGCAGTGATACTGCTGCAGATTTTACTCTCTCCTTAACATGTACCATCTACCTACAATCTGTAAGGTATAGACTTCAGTGTTACTGTTCTGCAGGATTTCTTTGGCGCGGCGCTCCCTACTCGGGGCTGTGTGTTTCCTGCAGAATCTGCACTCTCTTGCATTTTTATTGTTAAGTCTCTTGTCGTTTTTTTTTTCCCCAGGCCAGAAATTTGCATACCGGAGAGCTGGCGGCGGTAAAAATCATCAAGTTAGAGCCAGGTAAGCGCCCCCCCCTGCTTTCTTACCTGCTTGCTTTCCTTGTATATTCCGAGTGGCAACCCTCAACAGAGGCTCCTTAAGCCAGAACTGATTTGATAGCACACCGTGATGCTTATGAACACACTGTTCTTCCAAAGAGCAAAAGACAGGTTTTTCATGTCCCTCCGTTTTATCCCTAGGACAGCCTTATAGGTCAGGTTGCGGGGTGGGGGTGGGGGCAAAGGGCGCAGAGTCACCTTCCGTGCCAAGTTTTCCACCCACTCTCCCCCCCCCACGGTCCAGTCCACTGTTCTTTGCACTGCAGGTCCCATTCTGAGATACAATAGGCCACGGCGAGCATCCTTGCCCACTTCCGGGGGGGGGGCCCTTCTGGCTCAGCAGGGAACGAACCCCAAGCTGCCCTCGCCTTTTGCTAGGCTGTCGGCCTGTTGCTTCCCTGCCTTGATTATCTGTTTCTCCCGGATCAAATGCCTTGTTTGAGAAGTGTTGTGTCTTCTCTTTGTAGATGCCGCCTGTCCCGCTTCTCTTTTAAAAATCTTTTAGGGCTATCGGGGGGGGGGGCGTTCCTCGGTAACTCCGAGCACAATTCAGAAATGTGAGTTTGTTTTCTCAACTTGGTCTGTGTGTAAACAGCTGGAGCTAGGAATCTGGGTCCAGAAGGGGTTTGAACGATAACAGCAGGACGCCTGAGCAGATCCAAACGGCCTCTCCCTCTTTGTTAAGTAACACCAGCCAGGTTACACACGTTGGACATTCATGGATTAGAGGACATGAACGCCTTGGCAGATCTCATTGTAGAAGTTAAACACTTGGGTTTGCATCCACACTGTTCTGTATGAATCAGCCACCTTGGGTCCTTTTAAGGAGAAAGACAGGGTGAAAAAAACAAACACACAGAATTGGCGGGGGGGGGAAGAGGACAATAGCTTTCTCCTTAGCTGTGTTTGAACCTGTACTTCTTGTGGTATATGTTACCAATAACAGATGGATGTAGCTACTGCAGGGAATGGTACATATGTATTTCCTATACAGTAGGGCTCCTCTATCCGTAGGATCAATATACACTGATTCACTTATCCACTGACTGAAAATATTAAACCAAAAACCCCATAAATACCTATTTAAATGTATTTCCAGGGTGTATTTACCAGGACTGGCCACTAGAGGGAGCCAAAGACCATGCAGTGTATAGTGTCTTGATTCTTCCACGTTTTTCAGCATCCACGGAACCCCTGCAGTTGCCATGGCCCTACTGTATTATAGGCGTTTCTGTGATGGATTACGTGGTTTGTTGACAAAAGGAATTTCCAAAATCTCCAGTGAAAGATCGGGATATTTCTGGAGAAGATCCCAGAAAGATCATTGGTGATACATACAATTTTGCAGAGGGATCAGAACAAGATCCTGCGTGCCAGAATTCTTTGTCTGGCAGCCAGAGGCCCCTGGAAGAAGGAAGGGTACAGAGGCAGTCAATTGTCCCGTTGTGTCTTCTCTTCCAGCGGTCCACGGGACCTCCATGCTTACTGGCTCCGTACGCACCCGTCGTGGTTAACAGCCCTTGATTTTGCCTCCTCTTTTGTCTTTCTAAATCCTCTTGAGCCAGTAGTAATCAAGTTTGTCTTGTGGTCGTGAATTCCAAGAGGTCATTATGAGTTGTGTAACAAAGCAGGATTGAGTTAGGAATACTTCCCAGAACAGCAGCAAAACGTTTCCCGCTCAAAGGGCAGCATGGGGCCTTAAGAGACATCACGTGACCAGCGGAGGACATTTCGGCCACCACAGGCCACTTACGTTAATGCTGTTTGCAGATGGAAAGCGTCTCCACCGTCTCTGGTGAAAAGATGGAACGATTCCGAAGGAGATCCCAGAGAGAGAGATTAGGTGATACGGAAGATGCAACAAGATCAGGGCAAGCTCCTGTGAACGCAGAATAGTTTGCATGGCTTAAAAGTTAATGGCAGAAAAGGCTGAAGACGCAGACTGTGTATCTGCCCTTCTCCGAGACGCAACAGAAAAGGGGAAAAGGATGGTATGGGTGGAGATTTGAGCCCTGATTCTTCAAATGTCCGGCTCGAATGGAAAAGGTTCAGGGAGAAGAGAAGTGAGCAGCTGCCGGTTGAGGATTGGAATTGAGCAGTCACCTTCTTGAGCACGTGCTTGCCACTGAAGGATGATGGCTTTGCTTAGGTTCTGGCAGAAACGGGGCTTGCGTGTAGAACAGGGGTCCCCAACATTTTTCACCCCGCAGACTGGCTGGGGAAGGCAGGGAACCCCTGCGCTCGTGCGCATGCGTGAACAATCACACACTCTCTCTTGTGCAAATGAGTGAGCGCTCGTGTGCATGCGCAAATGGCAGCACAGCACTTATCTGGGCACGCTTGTGCGCATGTGCAAATGGCAGCGTGGCGCTCGTACAGGCACGCTGGGGCACACACACATGCACAAATCAGTTGCGCAGGGTGAGTGCGTGCAGGGGCAGGGCGGGGCGGGGCAGGAGGTCTGTCTCTGCAGCGCGCACACACTCTCTTGCGCAAATGAGTGTGCGCTCGTGTGCATGTGCAAATGGCAGCATGGCAATTATATGCGCACGCTTGTGCACATGCGCAAACGGCAGCGTGGTGCTCGCACAGGCATGCTGAAGCATGCACACATGCGCAGATCAGTTGTGCGGGGTGAGTACGTGTGGAGGCGGGGCGGAGCAGGAGGTCTGTCTCCGCAGCTCGATCTGGCTCAGGCCACGGACCAGCACCATGCCACGGACCGGGGGTTGGGGACCTCTGGTGTAGAGGTTTCCTGTGGGTTCGGGACCTGTTGTCTCTTGCAAAGGATCTGGTGGCTGGTGGAAGAAGCAGCAGCGAGAAGCCTCCGGGTGCCTGAGATCGTGGAGAGGGGCTGATCAAGACTTGGAAAAGTCACTGCTTTGGACTGCAATTCCCAGAATCCCCAGCTGGTACAGCTTCTCTTTTCCTCCTGTCTGGGGATTTCTGGAACTTACCCCCCAAAAACTCTGGATTCATCTCTTTCCTGTGGGTTCGGGACCTGTTGTCTCTTGCAAAGGATCTGGTGGCTGGTGGAAGAAGCAGCAGCGAGAAGCCTCCGGGTGCCTGAGATCGTGGAGAGGGGCTGATCAAGACTTGGAAAAGTCACTGCTTTGGACTGCAATTCCCAGAATCCCCAGCTGGTACAGCCTCTCTATTCCTCCTGTCTGGGGATTTCTGGAGCTTACCCCCCAAAAACTCTGGATTCATCTCTGTGGAAAGCATCAGCACAATCCTTTGTCCAGGAGGCCATGCTTCCCCCCCTTTTTTTTCTAGCTCTATTCTTTCTACGTTTCCAGGTAGAAATTGTGCTCCTTGTGTACCTGTGACTGTGCTAGTCAATATCGTCTGGGGTGTGCTGTTGGCTAGGATGTGGTTTGCATTGCCCCGCGGCTGCCCTTTGCAGGGCTGTGTGTTGGCCGGAGCTACCTCCCCTCCTGAAGCCTGTTTTTAAAAGCCTCTCTTCCGGCTGTTTCCAGGTAGAAATTGTGCTCCTTATGTACCATGCTAGTCAATATCGTCTGGGGTGCGCTGTTGGCTAGGATGCGGTTTGCATTGCCTCGCGGCTGCCGTTTGCAGGGCTGTGTGTTGGCCGGAGCTGCCTCCCCTCCCAAAGCCTGTTTTTAAAAGCCTCTCTTCCGGCTCTGGCAGATTCTTTATGCGACATTAAACTTTGAACTTTATCTGGGGGGGGGGTTTTGCTTACGCTGGGCCACGGAGCATTCTACCCCTGGGAGAGGAATGTGTGGCTCATTCGGGTGTTAAGGAGGGCCGTTGTAAACATCTACAACTGGCTCCCTGTGGAGTGTGAGGATGATGTGCAGTGCTTTGTCGGTCTGTGGCCCCTTCTGCCGCTCCCTTAAGAGGCCGTGGGCAAGCTTTGGGAGCCACCCCTGTCCCTGCCCAGAAGATCTACCACCCTCTTCAGAAATGCAGCTTTTCTACATTTTTTCAAAACCGAAAGCAGAGCTTGGAACATTGGCCTCTTCAAAAGCAAAGGAACTGGTTTGTGGCTTGTTGTGGCCTTGTTGTTATCATTGCCACATTCCCAAAGGTAAATTCATTGCAGTCTCTTCTTGCTGAGCTGACAGAAAAATACAAGCCAGTCCCTGTATTTTAGGCTGCACCTTGAAAATACTTGAAAGCTATGGAGGCCAGACAAACTGAATGCCTCCATTAGCACTGAAGATTGGTAAAAGCTTGGTATAACTCTGGTACACTCCTTTTCAAAATTCCTCCAAAAATCCGTTAAAATGGGAAAGTGGAAAAATATCACTTATTGAGAGAAAAAGGCAACTTTGAATTATTCATTACATTGTTTTTTGAAAGGTATGTTTGCTAGCTCATTTTTGATTTGGAAAATGAATGAATAAGTGGGTAGATGGATGGATGGATGGATGGATGGATGGATGGATGGATGGATGGATGGATGGATGGATGGATGGATGGATGGGTGGTCGGAGGGTGGGTGGGCGCGTTGGGTAGATAGATAGATAGATAGATAAAGCCAGTGGGAATGGCCCTCCCCAGACACAAACAAGGCTAGGGGGAGTGGGTGGGTGGACGCCTATGGGATTTACAAGACCTTGGCAATGCCTACAATGTGTGTGGGGGGGGCACACATGAAGCTTTTCATCTAGGCCTTTGAAAGCCTCACTCCTCCTCGAATGAAATGCTGTCGCATTTATTCCCGCCGTCTTTATCTTAGGTGCTTTCTGTTAGATAACGGAGTTTGTTCGGGTTTTCCTGCGTCGTCTGCTCTTTTTTTGTCTCCGTTTGTCTTTGTTTGCCTGGATTTATTTTTGTGCAGCTGGGTATACGTCTAATAAATAAATAAACAAACAAGCAAAGAAAGAAATGTACCTTTGCCTTTAAAAAAAAAAGAGCATGTAGCAACCCTTGGGGAGGCTTGTTATTGCAAGGATTCCAGAAAGAAGAATGGGAAAGGGTTAAACCCTCTTC